AAAAAAAAAAAAGGAGGAAAAAAAAAAAGCCCTCTTCTAATCAGATTGCTGCTTCCTGGCTCAGCACCCATAGCACAGTGGTTAGGGTACTTGCCCACATGCACCAGGGCTGATGGGTTCAAACCAACCTGGGCCTGCCAAACAATAATGACAACAACAACAACAAAATAGCCAGGTGCTGTGGCAAGTGCCTATAGTCCCAGCTACTTGGGAGGCTGAGGAAAGAGAATCACTTAAGCCCAAGAATTTGAGGTTGCTGTGAGCTGTGATGCCACAGCACTCTTCCGAGGGCAACATAGTGAGACTCTGTCTCACACACACACACACACACACACACACACACAAAACAGATTGCTGCTTCTAAGCCCATAAACTCTTGAACTGATGTAAACAAGTATTCTCCCATTTAAAAAATATTACAAACTCATAAAATATCCTAGCCTTAATCAACTTGGAAACATGCATAAGCACACAAACTGCAAAGAAATTACTAGCTACGAATTGAAACCACTAACATTGCATCACTGCCCTAAAATTCTGCATGGCCTTAGATAAAATATTAAGCTTTTCTGAACTGGTTTTTACTTTGTAAAAGTGTAACGTTTGTCTCCTCCACTTCCATAGAGACCACCTTATCAAGCACAGTGAAATGCTTGGAGTGCATTATACTAACCTAAAAGCAGTAAGCTGCCATCTCATAAAGTTTGTTAACTCATCAGGAAAGATGGCTGGGGTGACTTTGCATAACAAAAGCAAAACCTCCACAATGGTGATTTTCTTCCCTTCCTTTTCAGTCACCCAAGCTAGAGTGCCAGGAACTCTGTCTAGCTCACAGTAAGTTCAAACTCCTGAGCTCAAGCCCAATTCTCCTGACTCAGCCTCCTAAGTAGCTGAGACTACAGGTAAGCATCACCACATTGGCCTAGCTAATATTTCTATTTCTATGTAGTAATAGGGACAGGTTCTCACTCTTGCTCAGGCTGGTTTCAAACTCCTGAGCGCAAGTGATCCTCCTGCCTCAGCCTCCCAGAATGCTAGGATTATAAACATGAGCCACCTCGTCCAACCTCTTCCCCTCTTTTTCTTCGTAGGTTTTTAATTCAAATCTGCTGTTTGGGGCTTATATAACATGATGAAAGAGCCACTAAAACAATGGAATGCTGGTCCACTTAGTGTTAATGAACTTAGTTGTAATAATCCTTAACCAGGTTGAGCTTCAAGAGTGTCATGAAGACCCCAAATGATAAATAAAATAATGTGAGTAGGCACATTCACACATGACCTCATTTTCCCTGGATGAGTTAATAATTCTCGGTACAGATGAAAGGGCCCTGAAATAAAAGACAAATTTTGGTTCTTATTCAGCTACTAATTTTGAATTGTTACCTTAGATAAGTCACTTTACTTCTGTTAGCCTCAATTTCCTTGTCTTTCCAAAGAAGACATTTGCCTCATCTACTCTAAGAGGCAGTTAGGAGGCTAAGATGAGAAAATACTGATGAAAGTGCTGTATAATAATCAAAAGATTATAATTTTTACCTCTTTTAAAATCATCATTAGATGTTGACAAAATCCTTTCTGGGGAGGATTTTTATCTATTTAGAAAGGAACAGCAAAAGAATAAGAAAAGGCACACAATTATAATTCACCTTCGGCTCGGCGCCTATGGCTCAAGTGGCTAAGGCGCCAGCCACTTACACCCAAGGTGGCAGGTTCGAATCCAGCCTGGGCCCACCAAACAACAATGACGGCTGCAACCAAAAAATAGCCGGGCCTTGTGGCGGGCGCCTGTGGTCCCAGCTACTTGGGAGGCTGAGACAGGAGACTCGCTTGAGCCCAGGCGTTGGAGGTTGCTGTGAGCTGAAATGCCATGGCACTCTACCAGGGGGACAGCTGGAGGCTCCTGTCTCAAAAAAAAAAAAAAAAATTCACCTTCATACCATTCCCGGGCTCCTAGATTTGCTGAGCCAAGACCACACTGAGGAGATGCAAAGATCACAAATTCTGTTCCTGCCCTGCTCAGGCTATTCAGTGACGAGTGTTTCACACTGATAAACACCTCCCAAATCTCAAAGCACAAAGTGAGAGTTCACTAGGTTAGGCGCATTAATTAGCAGTACTCATTTGGATTCTGTATTCATCAACTACAAAAAGCAGCTATTCAATATTTGCCTGTGTGCACTACTTTAAGATCTTTCAATTCAAAGGTCCAACTGGAGCACAAAATAAAGCCCAAGAAAACAAACTTAAATAAACCTGTCACTATCAGAATGTGCCTCAAAGTAAATTAGCAGCTTTAAACCATGGCAAAGAATCTGCACAGGCCTATGGCAGAGATAGCGTGAGTAATGAATGTTCAGGTTACAGAAGCAAGCCCCTGCTGCAAAAGAAAGGAAAAACAAAGTAGTTTCAAGCCAAGAGACTACTTTTTGTGCCTTAACAAATTCCTATTAACTCCTTTTGCTTAACCCCTTACTGAACTCTAATCCCCACAGGAAGAACACCGTATTATACTGTACCGTTCCAGACTCTTTTAAACTCAGTTAAGTCTACTCCCATACTTTACATCAATTAGCTTTAACTTCCTAGGTCCAAAATTAAGCAACATTTTATAAATAATGAAATAACTGCCATTAGTATGCAAGTCTAGATTAAGAGACTAACCATGATCCCTTATACACTATAGCACCCTAGGTGAAAAGTATAGGATGAAACAGACAAAATGTCATGCCTTTTAAAGCAGCCCACAGGACTGCAGTTCTCAACCTTGGCTGCACAGTAGAATCACCAGTAGAGATTTCTAAATATCTGAATGACTAAACGCAATCCTAAACCTGATCAATCAGAATCTCTGAAGACTGGTCTCCAGGCATCAGTATTTTTTCTAATATATGGCCATTATATCAAATACTACTAAGGGGCATATATTTCATAGCTCACAGAAGCTCTAGGGAAGACCCAAACCAGAAAGAAAAACAAGCAAACAAGATCTCTATGTTCTCTTTAGAGTTGGGATAAATGACCATGTCTTTCACCCAAAGTTTTCATCTTCAATTTCAACAACAAGAATCCCATTGGGAGATGAACATAGGATGACCACCACTTTCCATACCCTACCTGGGGTCAGTATGATGTCAACCCAGCACCAAAAATGCAAGAATTGGGCAAATATTCTCAAATCTGAAAGGCATCTAAGTAGGTCACTATCGATTATGGACCATCCTGGTTTTTAAGATCAGCTTCAGAGGCTATGAGATTCAATTAACTCTGGGAAAGGGAAACTATGTCAACCCTTTTGTTCAGCACTATAATGACTCATATTCTCTGGAAAAGCCTAACAATGCTGACTATTTTTGACAACCCATTAAGAATCATAGATAGAGGGCGGCGCCTGTGGCTCAAAGGAGTAAGGCACCGGCCCCATATGCCAGAGGTGGCAGGTTCAAACCCAGCCCCAGCCAAAAACTGCAAATAAATAAATAAAAATAAAGATCTTAAAAACAAACAAACAAAAAAACCCCAAGAATCATAGATAGGCATTCAAAGGTATTTCTAGGAGCTCTCCTTGTCAAATCTCCTAAAGACTGTCAATATCCCCAAACAGCAAGGAGACAAATTTCATTCATAGGCTAGGTGACTTAAGCCACACCATTTCTCTAAAAGGCAGCCTTGCCTGTTGTTCTATTCTAATTCTGCTCCACCTTTCAAACAGGAAAAAGACAAGGAAGGCATTTTATACACTCAGCTAAACCACACAGAGGATGTCTCGTAGGAAACAGTTCTGCTCTGACCAACAACAGGGCCTGGGCTTTTTCCAATCTTTCCCCCATCTAATAAAGAAAAGCAGCAGAAACTTCACTTTCTCAAGCAAACCTTCCCTGATTAAAAACATAAGGCTGAATTCCCCTAAGAAGGAGAATGGAATTTTCTAACTGCAGATTATTGGAAAGACTAAAAAATCTGTGCAGGCAGGGGCTAGATAGAAGAAAATAAAGAAGACAAGTCCAGGATATAGATATGAGAAAGCCAGGAAACCAGGTCAAATTGTATAGCCTAGAGAAGGAAAAACAAGGGCAAAATCAACAGTCATGACTTTGAACTAGTGACTGTTTTCTCCTGTAATAACAACAATTTTAATAACACAACTATAATACTTTTAGAACTAAGAAATGTTCTAAATTTATATGTCTAAAAGTAAATTCATTACTGAAATGTCTCATTACCTTCCAGAATAAGTAATTTCAAGAATGCTATCTATCATTGTATCCTTTGATAAAACACACACATACACACACACACACACACACACACACACACACACACATCCTTTGAGTTACAAACAGACAGCAGATACCAACCTGGCCATCCCTCGCTGGGAATCCATGATAACCTGGAGTCAGAGGCTCGTTCTAAGGTAAAGAAAAAAAATCAAACTATTAGAAGAAAGGAAATGTTAATAATAATCAAAATCTTGCAAACTGACCAAATATAAATTCTTACCCTGGTTCCTAAAATATTCTATTGCTGCATTACACTCTACCTAACTTCATATATCTCTCAATTAAGCCTCTACAAATGGCAAAACCAACAAAAAACAGTATATGCACAGGAACACTATTTATAAACCCTATTTTCCTCCTTATGCAGCTAACTCTTCTTAGTATATCTCAACCAGGGTGCTGTTGAGATTTGGAGTAGAAGACTGTGGGACTTTAGCATCCCCAGTCCCTACTCACATAAGCCACAGCACTCATAATCAGAAAACTTGCACATATTCCAAATGTTCCCTGGCTAGAAAAAGGACAAGTACCATCCCTATTGAGGATTCCTCCTGACCTGGGAAAGTTTCATCCCCTCCTCTATCAACCTGTTTTTCTCAATTCTTTTAAATCTAGATGAAATTCTATCTCTGTTCAAGACTTCCTCTACTACCCTATACCATCCTACAGAACTAAGTGACTCCTTCTCACATGTATACAACAGGGTGGACATAAAGTTAGTGTACAATTTAAAATAGTTTAACATAGTAAATTGCACACAAAATTTATGGATACCCTGTATATGTCAATATTTATTTAGGTTGTCTGTGCAATTTACTTTTCGTATTATTTATGATTCTAATTAGTCTAGTAAAAAACTAGAATACTGGCTCGGCACCTACGGCTCAAGTGGCTAAGGCGCCAGCCACATACACCTAAGGTGGTGGGTTCAAATCCAGCCTGGGCCTACCAAACAACAATGACAGCTGCAACCAAAAAATAGCCGGGTGTTGTGCCGGGCGCCTGTGGTCTCCGCTACTTGGGAGGCTGAGGCAGGAAACTTGTTTGAGCCCAGGAGTTGGAGGTTACTGTGAGCTGTGATGCCACAGCACTCTACCCAGGGGGATAGCTTGAGGCTCTGTCTCAAAAAAAAAAAAGAATA